AAATAATAATAATAATAATAAGAACTAGGGATGTGGCTCAGTGGTTAAATGCCTCTTAGTTCAGTTCCTGGTACCAAAAAATAAAAAAGAAATAAAAACCCCCAAAACAACAACAAAATAAATAAATAAACAAACTAATTAATTAATCAATAGAACAAAATACAAGAAATTTCTAGCTTACTAAATATATGAGACTGGGTTTCAGCATCATTTGGGATCAGACTCTTATTTTCTTTCCAAGAAAATAGTAGGTTTAGTCGCTTACAGACACGTTGCTAAAAAAATCTCTGGGCAGCACAAATAGCAGTTCAGCCTTGGTGGGAGTTAAATGTTTTAAATTTTAGCTCCCCATTGCACTCTCTCAGGTGCCTATTCATGGTTCACATCTGGGCTGTTCTGATGGAGGGGTAAGTCTCATTCATTCATCCAGTCAATATTTGCTGATGACTGACCCCATTATGCCTTTGCACCATGTGAGGGGTGTTAAGAGTCCAGTGTGCATGACTTGACAGGATAGAAAGGCTCTCAGAGTCAGAACATGTCCTTCCCTCGGCCTTGGACCCCCTGTGGTGACTAGAACACCCTCCCCACGTGGCTTTCAGCCCTGTTCACCCACTAACGGATGGGCTGGTTCTGAGGGCTGGTGCAGCCAGTGTCAAGGGCCAACATAGGCATTAGTATGGCATTGCTGACCATGACAGGCTCCCTTTCAGCTCTGCAAAGCAGTTCAGGCAGAGGCTGGAGAGGGCGCCAACACCCTACTACCTGTGTGGGACTTGGTCTCTCATGGATCCATTCTCTAATCTTCCTTTTCAACCACCTGTCTGTTTCTCCCATAAATACTCATGGTGCCTAATCTATGCAGGCACCAACTGTGCCAGATATGGAATATGTCATGTAGAATAAGACAAGCTCCCTGCCCACAGGAAGCTTGGAGTTTGACGGGAGGGTTAAATTCTAAGGGGGAATGAGGCCCGCGAGGACAGACAACACACTGACAACACACAGCCTCAAATACATTATTTCTAGGCTCTGAGTCCATGTCCTGGCTCTCACCAAACTGATATGCAGTGGTATCAGTGTTATGCTGATAAAGATCGGCTCTCAAAATAAACAAACAAACAAATAAATAATAGGGCTAGGGCTGTGGCTCAGTGGCAAAGCGCTTGCCTAGCACGCGTGAGGCACTGGGTTTGATCCCCAGCACCACGTAAAAAACTAAATAAACAAATAAAGGTATTATGTTCAACTACAACTAAAAATATTTAAAAATAATAAAGTTGTAGCCTTTGCTAATTTACACAGTGTGAACAATTCCAAGCCGCCATTGCAAGGGTGCTGAGTGCAGACTTGGGAAGAAGGAAAGACTTTGGGCAGAAGAGAAGCATATTGCTTATTTGTGTTCCCCCATACAGATATAATAGGGGTAAATAATTTCAAGGGCATAAATAATAGTAAGATAATTAGGCCAGGTGAGTTTTGAGTATTTATTACTTTGGTCTTAGTATAATCACTTAGTTGTAAATTTGTGTAATTTCATTTTTAATAATGACTGCCGTTTCAAAATTGCGTGGAAATTCAATAATTCCCTCTCAGGCCTAGCTGGTTCTAGGATGCCTCTGTTCCAGGCTCAGTCATCATGTATTGTGGTCTTTAGAGCCAGTGTGCCTCCCCCACCGTTCCATAGACTGTGACTTCTATGTCTTTGTGTCCTCAGAGCCTCACTCTCCCAAAGAGCATCGAGGGCTATTAATTCATTGAGTTAGAAGGCTTCATCTGTATTTGTGTATGAAGGTCCTTTATTTTTGAACATTATTTAAGCCTGAGGTTGAATTTTTGTTTTTGTACAGGACAGAAAGCAGATGAGCACATCCATTATCAGATGGTCTCTTTGCAAAGCCTTTGTACAAATAATGCATGTTACAGATGCTTATGGTCTTGAATCATTAGCATAACATATGTTCCCACTCAAAAATGGCAAATGTGCCTCTGTTCAAAATAGCTCATGCCTTAGCGTTCGCATCCTTGTCTTATGCTCAGGTTCTGACTATGGCGGGAGCACGAGTATGTCCACGCTAAAGGATGTGTTCCGATGCCAATCACTCTGGCTCGACCCAGACCGGACTGTTGGGAGCTGGTGGCATTATTTCTGTCATCATCATGGTCACCATTGCCCTGTCTTCATCATCATTACCAACAAATACTGTTTATTGGGGGCCATCGTGTGCATCTCACTGTGACAGATACCATGCAAATCAAGTGGCTTCGAACCATCCCTTGAAGGTCACAGCTCAGCACAGAAGCAAACACTTTGGAAAACAAATTCCTGCAATTTCAGTGTGGGAGAGAGGACATGGTGTTAGGGGTGGGACCTGAAGAGGGTGATGTTGCATCTGGGCAGGGAAAGAGGGTGGCCTGAGTGGGGAAGAGGCAGGGAGGCAGTAGGAGAGCCTCAGGAGGATCCAGCAGTGGAGTGTGAGTGGAGCAGAGAGGAGATGGGCTCAGCCAGGGAGGAAGATGAGGGATGGAGAGGGAGGGAGGGAGACAGACAGAGGAGCAAGGGGAGAGAGAGACGGGTGGGAGAGAAGGAGAGAGACAGAGAGAGAAGAGGGTCAAAGAGAGAGGAGAGAGGGAGAGAGAAAGAGCGAGGGAGAGAGAGAGACAGAGACAGAGAGAGGGAGAGGCAGGGAGAGAGAGAGACAGAGAGAAGAGAAATGATGGAGAAGAGAGAATGCACTGTGGCCAGGCAGAAGACAAAGCAAAGCATAGAAGTAGGCAGGTGGATGAGTGGGCTCTGGGGAGGGAGCAAGGGGGTGAGGGGCATCTTCAAGGTCTGTAGGCGCCTCCTCCTCCTTCCTTTGTGCCCTCCGTCCTGTTCCCACTACCCAGATTTGGGGATGAAGGTCTAAGTGAGTCGGAAGAGACCAGGCAGCTACTGAACCCCACTCCGCGGAGCAGGTGTGGATTAACCCTATGGAATTACCCTGTGGATCCCGGGGAGGTCTCCCTTCAGCTGGCCAGAGCCGAGAGCATCACGATGTCCCAGACTTGTGCTCTCTTGCAGAATCAGTCTAGAGTCTTTCCCCAGGCAGGACACTGCTTGAAAACCCCCAAAGGGGGTGCAGTGTGGACTTTCATTTTTCAAAAGATTTTATTAAAAAGAGAAAAACCTGACTTTTGAGGGGCCGCACTACCATGGATAGCCCCACCACCAGCAAATAAAGCTCGGGTTTTGTAGCCCCTGTTTAATTTACTGTCTATTGATGTTTAAGATCCCAGAGACAACAAAATTTCATTTCATTTCTGTAGCATTAATTTACTTCATTTTTCTGGGGAGTCAGAGAGTTAATTTAGAAACCCAATGCTATCTTAGGGCACAAGAGAATTTCTGTTAAAGTGAAAATTGCTGCTTTTTTTCTTTTTCTCCATGAATAGATGAAAACATTACAAAGGAGGAATACATTTTCTTCTGAAAGATGAGCTATTTGACGACTACGGGCTGTTCCCTTTGATACAGAAATCAGTGCTTTGATTTATTGTCATTAGGCCGTCTTCTTGCTCTGCGGAGCCAGGAGCAATCAAAGCCAGGGAAGTAAATGGCACTATTTTTCCTGTAGCCATTCGGTAATTTCCCACGAGAATTTGGAATCACAGTTCTTTGGGGCTGATGTTTCATCTGCCCTGTAGCCTCAGAAAGCCTCCAAGAGGCCACTAAGATGGTGGTCTATGGTAGAGCAGGGGTAGAAAGAGGAAGCCCTGGGGTCCTCCGGGACTGGCAATGCTGACTTCTTTCCTTGGCTCTGTGTTTTCTCACATTGCCTGATGTCTCCACCGGTGATTACAAGTGGAACTTAATCTCTCTAACCCTCTGGCTTTGTGCTCTATTCTCCAGAGTGAGCACATCAGTTCTTTAGTTTTTTAGTAGGTAAAGAGCCTCATTCAGTCATCGAGCTCCCAGGATGCTCTGGGGCGTCTCTCTGTTGGGGAACACCTGGGATGGCTGCACTTGGGCTGGGGATTGTGAGGGATGACCCATGCTCCCCTTCCATCCCCAGATCCTGCAGTGGTGATGGGCAGCTGAGGACCTCATGGTCTTTGCTAAGATAGTGGGCTTGGTTTTCCTTGGGCTTCATTTTCCCTGTCTCCTCCCCAGCCTCTTTCCTCCCGTGTCCTGTGAGACCAGCCTTCTCACCTCCTGACTAGTTTCAAACACGTCCACGCAGTGGGTCTTCGGGCAGTTACTGTGCCTCTCCCCCGTGACTATTTTCTAAACCAAAGTCACGAAAACGATCCTGTAGTGGGGATGGCATCCGTGGGGTGTCAGAACTGAAGTTGGGGGTGGGAGCATGGAGAAACAGACCTTGGGCATCAGAACAAGGTGTGGGGAGAGCGGGGCTGTGCCTGCCTGGCTTGGGGCCTCTCACTAACTAGCAGGCTCTCTGTGAGAGAGACAAGATGCCCTTTCTGCAAATTCCTCCTCCTCCTGTTCACCCTGCGGTTTCTCCCTCTCTGAGACTAGCATTTGGGGGCTTTGAAACTTCTAGAATGAATATATCTCTGGGTCCAGGGGGAGTGGCATCTCTTGCAGCTGGAAGTCCACATCTTTCCCTGGTTGATTGTCAGGCTTTAGTGAAAAGCAAGAGGCTGGAGGAGCAAGCGCCGGTTGCATCCCAGGCGATTTTGTGGCCCATTCGGACAATGACTAGCCTATTCAGGAATGGCAGGCCCAGTCAGTGGTGATGTTTGTCTGAAGCCACAACTTGACGTTGCCAGGTGCTTGCCCTCTCTAGGCAGCTTTACTTCAAGCACATGCAATAAAAAGTGTGAGAATGTGAGTTGCCTGTGGAAGACAGGCGCTGGGCTCTAGGTTCCCCGTGGCAGAAACCATGTTTCTCTGAGCTCGCTCAGGACACCCATGTGGGTCAGGGCCTGCTGTTTTGCTGTTCCCACTGGGGACCACAAGCTGACTTTTGGAAGAGGATGGCCAGGCGGGCTCTTACCTGGCGATCTTGTCCGTGCAGGACATGGTGACCAGCTGTTCCCCCAGCAGGATGCCATCCCACGTCTGGACTGCACTGGGGCCCCGGACGGGGACTGTGCCTTCCCCAGACTCTATCTTGGTGCGCAGGTGCCCGCGGAACTTCCTGACGATGTGTTTGCTGCTGTTCACTAGGAAAGAAGAGGTGGTGGTGAGAGGTGGCAGGCACAACCGCCCAGAGCTAGGTGGGCTCTGTGGGCTGAGAGCATGGCAGGCTGCATCCAAGGGTCTTGGCAGGGACTGAGCTCAAGAGGCAGGTTTTAGAAGTAACAGAAGCAGATGGTGGTGACATGGTAAAGAGATGGGCTTCACAGTATGGAGATTTCTCAGAAAACTTAGAATGGAATGACCATTTGACCCAGTTAACTCACTTTTTTGGTACTCAAGGGACTTAAAATCAGCGTACTACAGTGATGCAGCCACATCAATATTTATAGCAGCTCAACTCACAAGAGCTGAACTAGGGAATCAACTTAGGTGCCCTTCAACAGATGAATGGATAAAGAAAATGTGGTGCATATACACAATGGAATATAACTCATCCATAAAGAGGAATTAAATTATGGCATTTGCTGGTAAATGGATGGAACGGGAGACTATCCTGCTAAGTGAAATAAGCTAATCCCCTAAAACCAAAGGCTGAACATTCTTTCCTATATATGGATGCTAACACACAAAAAGGGGTGAGGGAAAGAAAAAATAGAAGTTCATTGGATTAAACAAAGGGGAATGAAGGGAAGGTAGGGGGTATGGGAATAGGAAAGACAGTAGAATGAATCAGGCATAAATTTCCTGTGATCATAGATGAATACACAACTAGTATAACTCCACATCATGTTCAACCACAAAAATGAGATCCTAATTAGAATAAGTTATACTTCATGTGTGTATAATATGTCAAAATACATTCTCTTGGCTGGGCGTGGTAGCACATGCCTGTAATGTCAGCTGAGGCAGGAGGATTGAGTGTTCAATGTCAGCCTCAGCAGAAATGAGGCACTAAGCAACTCAGTGAGACCAGTCTCTAAATAAACTACAAAAATAGGGCTGGGGATGTGGCTCAGTGGTTGAGTGCCCCTGAGTTCAACCCCTAGTACCCTCCCCCACAAAAAAAATCACTCTAGTGTCATGTGTATCTAAAAAGAATAATAACAACAAAAAGAGATGGGCTTCAGAGAAATGCTGCTAGCAAGGGTCAGCTACTGTCCTGTAAGGGCAGAGGGCAAACATCTCAGAGACTAACACTGTTCTGTCTCTGCCATCACCACCCAACTCTGCTACTGAGGTGCACAGGCAGCCTTGGATAACACGTCATGAATGAGCATGGCTGCGTATGACACTTGACTTATGGGCTCTGAAATTTGAATATATGATTTGAACATCTAACTTTCACACCATGAAGTACTGTTGACCCTCCATAGCCATGGGTTCTACATCTCTGGATTCAACCGAGGTTCAAACAAATCCGGGAAAAAATCATGTCCGTACTGAACAGGCACAGGCATTTTTCTCTTGTCATTGTTCCCTGAGCAACACAGTGTAAGTGCCATTTACATACCACGAACATTGCATTAGGAGGGGTCAGTAATCCAGTGATGACTTAGAGCTGACGTGAGGTTGTGCAAAAATTAGACACAAACACAACACCATTTAACATAAGGAACTTGAGCATCCACAGATTTTGGTATCCACAGTGGGGTCCTGGAACTAATCCTCCATGATTACCAGGGGATGGCTGTGTTATTCCTTCCACTTTTTCCAGCCATTAAAAAATTGTGAGAACGTGCTTAGCTTTGGGGCCATGTAGAAACAGGTGGTGAGCTATGTGAACTTGGGAAAGTGGATTACAGGCTACAACGTGGTTACTTCCTCTTGTGTGTTTACTTCCCCTACGCTTCTTCATATCACCTTGCTCCCGGGCCCTGGGGATTAAACGAGGTGGCGTGTGTGAGGGTGGGGTGTAGCTCAGAGCACCTCAGGGTCTCCCAAGTGCCTCTAATTATGGAGGCCTCTATGGGGTAGGGACTTTTTAGGCATAGAAATGACAAGCCTCAAGGTGTCCTTATACCTCCCTCATGGGTTCTGGGTTCTTATCCTTCCAGGGCCCTCTTGACACACATCCATCTTCATATGCTATATCACATCCTGACAGTTATTTGGAGAACTAGCAAGAACAAGAGAAGCTTTACACTGTTTTTTTTTTCTTTCCCTAGAAAATTCTGTATATAAGTCTGGGTTATTTTGTATGAGAGAAATGGTTAACTGCTTTGCACATTAAATATAAAGTATAAAAGAGCCTAATGATTCCAACATCTACATACTTATAGTGACATGAATAGATATTAGATGCTTTCTCTAAAAAGTTTCTATTGAAGTTTCAGAAGTTGTGTAGCTGGAGTTTTCTCCTCATTTACTTGCACTGAATGGTGAATAGTAAACATAGGTTTTTTTTTTTTTTTTTTAATCTGACACACCAGAGTAATTTCCACTGCACTTCCTTATCAGTTCCAAGAACTGAAGTTCTTAAATTCACCATACCTATGGGCTATCTTTTGGGAAGACTCTCAAGAGGGGAGTCAACTTTTGAGAGGTTTCAAATCACTTTTTCATCCTGCAAACAACCAGTTACTTTGTGAGCTCCAGTTGGGATTTGTCTAGGAGTCATCTACGGAAGGAGGAACCAAGGAGAAAAGTGGAGCCTGGGGAGTCCCCTTCTGTACAGCACTAAATGGCACTGGTGATCAGACAGTGAGCATGGTGGCGGTGAGTGTGGAGGTGACAATAGTGATGATAGTGGTGACAAGGATGGTGATGATAGTGGTGATGATGGTGATTGTGATGATTGTGGTGTTGGTGATGATGATGGCAGATATGGTGATAATGATGGTGATGGTGACAATAATAATGGTGGTGATGGTGATTTTGATGATTGTGATGATGGTGATGGTGACAATAATGGTAATGATGGTGATTGTGATGATGGTGATGGTTATGAGAATGATAATGATTGTGACAGTAACAATGACCACAATGGTGGTAAAGGTAATGCTGATGGTGCAGTGAGGACGATGGTGATGGTGATGATGACAAATTGAACAGAAAATAATTCACATGACTCAAAAGTGCTTGCATGAACCTTGGTTTAATCTGAACATCTACACGATCCAGGTGGGGTCTCAGTGGACTCTCTGTGGTAGAAAGCATTGGAGATGGAGAAGCTGGCATGCCTCTCAGTTTCTACCCTGTTGCTTCAGGGGACGTGGTTCTTGATGTCTACTTCTATAAATCATGGTGTCTTCACAATCTCCTAATACTTCAACTACGGCATCATTTCCCAGACCTCAAAAGCTGCCTGTCATACTGCAAAACCTTTCTGGCTTCTCACCGTCTTTAATGTCGTGACGGCAAGAGGCCTGGCTCGAATTAACAACTGGTTTCTGGGAGGAAACCCAAACTCTCAGGCTAGAGTCCCTCTGCCTCAAGAGCCAGGTGCACGAGCTTCCCGAGAGTGCTCATTCTGGGGGAGTCACGTCTCTGCCACCTTCTGTAGCATGCCTCCTCCCACGGGCTCATTGGTCCCAGGGTGAGCCTCAGGGTTGGTGGACTTGGGGAGACAGTTCCCCGCCTCTGTCTTGGCTAATGGTGAGAGGTAGCGGGGAGCTGAAGATGCCACTTCAAGCAGAATGAAATGTCAATCCCCCAGCTGTGGTGGATTGATGGTGTGCCCGTGCAAGTGTGAAATGTCAAGGCCTGGCCTGTCATGCACACAGAGCTACCTTCAATTGCATTGGAACATTCTAGGCCAATTCTGATGTTCCAAATCATCAGACTCGTCATTATAGTGCTTATTAGTCTAAAATTGTTATCTTTTGGAATTAATAAAATAGATTAGTAACATATTTTAAAAATGTTTTTCTTCAAATGAATATTTTATGTTTAGGGGAGAATTTAAAGGAGGTGGCAATAAAATGACAATTTGAGACATTGACCTCCGAGTGGAGTTATCTAATAACAAAACAAAACAAAACAAAAAACATGGCATAGGGGACAGAGACAAAGCAAAACCATAAAACAACCCCCCCCGCCCCCGCAAAACCCCATAAGGCTATACATCAAATAAAAGTTAGATTTCCAAACTGTTTCCAAAAGCAATATTGCAGAAAATACATCTGTGAAGCAATCCATTACTTATTGTAATAATAAAACCTGTAATAATTGCCACGTGGTCATATAGGTGACCTTTGTCATCATTTGATGATGACGATGGTAGTGATGATGTCAAAATTATGAGACTATTGAAATCCATTATCCTGCAATGAGCAACTATTATTTACTGTGCATTTCCATAACTCAGTAGGATGTCTGAAGAAAGGAATTTAAAGAGCTGTACTTTAGGTTTCCTGACTTCCTACGGGATTTTGTTTCACTCTCCTCAGCTGCTCTTCTATAATGAGTGGAACGGGCTTGGTGTGAATATACTAGGCACTTATCATACCTTGGCAGATAAATGGAAGATGTAATCCTGCTCTTTTTCATGGCATCTTGAGGGAGATAGTTTGGAAAATTTGATCTGTGAAATTCTTGGACAATGGTCATAAGAACTGAATTTATCAGGTGATTTAAAAGTTATTCTAAGAGGGAGGTGAGGGGATTGGTGATTTGGGAGGGGGACAAAATTTGCTCAGCAAAAGTGAGGTACCCTGGATCCTTCTAGTCTTACATTGAGGATCTTATTAGAACTGCTCAACTCTAGCTCAGGCCTCCGAGGCACTGAGAAATGGCATTGTCACCTGTGAGTCTGTAGGGAGTCTTGTCTCTCCTTGGTGGCAGTTGGTGCCCCCAACCCTCAAGAGAAGTGTTCAGAGTCCTGATTCTGACCTTGTAAATAAAAACAAACAAAATCCCAAATAGCACAGTTCTCCTGGTTGTGCAAAGGAATATTATCTTTAGGCATTTTTCTCCACCTGGACTTATTGATTGATCCTCTAGGTGCAGGAGGAAATCACAGCACTTAGCAATTTTGAATGGCCTGAGATGGAGTAGCTATGCCTTGGGTGAGATCAGAGACCTTAGTTTGCAGAAGCTGTCTTGGGAACAACTTTTCCTTTACAGTGCATGCAACACACCAGCAAAAGCCTTTTTCACCTGCCTACCCTGTTGCATGGTGGAGTCCTGCCACAGAGCTTTGTTAGTCTTTGCAGGTACTCTGCCATTCCATCTCTCCTCAGAGACCTCTCCACTAAGCCTGCAAGAAACAAATGCCCCGTGTGGACTTGAGATGACTTAACGGGGTTTAAATCCAAGGATTTTAAATGTGGCTGATGCTGATGCTTAGTGGACCCCACTCCATTCCTGTTGCACAGAATCTCAGCCAAAGAGTGAATGGCAGGAACCTGAATTTGTAAAGACTTCTCAAGTAACCCAGATAGATAAACCAGGTTTGGAAACAACTGAATCTAATACGTTTCTAAGCTTGCATGCAACATATTTCTCAAAATACTGTGGGCCAGTTGACATTGATATTATATTTAAAGACTCAAGAGAAGGAGACTTTGTGATCCATTCAGATGAATGTTTTGGTAGGGAAAAAAAAAAAAAAAAAAGGAAAAGCCGAATACAGAATTTCTCTAGCCACAGGTATCCCAGGGAAGTGGGGCTGGATGGGAAAAATTTCTTGATGGTCCCTTAAACTCAGTCCCTGAATCCTGGATTGAGGGGTTTGTCCAGCAGACTGACCTATGGGGCTCAGGAAATTTGGGAAACCTTCTGAGCTACCAGAACAGCTGTGAACCAGAGAGGCCCTTGGAGGAAGGCAGTCTCTCTGCAGTTTGTGGGTGTTGGAAACTGGCTCCTAGAAATTCCAAGAGGGATGGTGTCTCTCACAGGCCTTTTGGCATCTGGTCTTTACTTTAATGATTGTTTAAAACTTGACAGAAAACTTTCTTATTATGCTCTGTTCTGTGTCCCTTCATTCATTAAAAGGAAGGGGAACAATCTAGACCACCTGTTCAAGCTCCCAAGCTTCTCTTAGGCATAGTCAAGCCCTAGATATTTTTGATTCCGATGCTTCAAAATCTGTTGAGTGTTTGTGAGTGTGTGCACATACTCGTGCATGAATGTTTGTGCATCTGTGCTCATGCACATGAGCGAGAGAGGGAGAAGCAGGGGCGAGGGGATCGTAGCACAGTTGCAGGTCCACAGGACTCAAGGTTAGAGCTTCCTTTGCTTTGGCATGAGCTTCTTAGAGCCTGGATTAGGTACTCAGCAGAATTGTCAAAACCTGTCTGTGCTCTTCAGTCTCTGTGTCTGTGAGCATATGAAGCCACAGTGACTGCCAGGGGACAGTGTGGTTCTCAGGGCTTCATCTAGGAGTCTGGCTCCCTCTGAGCAGTGGTGTGAGGCTAAGGGTTCTACGGGTTAATCTGTAGGGTAGAAGGTGCTGGCTGCTGACTTCTCAGGGACTAGTCCTAACTGGAGTTTTCCCAGCATCTGCGTGCAAGTCTTCCTGCAGGGGGCTTGTCACCAGTGACTGCCTCCCTGGCAGGAGCCCCTCAAAGCAAAGACCCCATCACTCACATTCCCTTCTCTAGTGGTCTAACCCTCCTTTAAGGGTAGCAATGGAGCCAGCAACACGGAGAGCTGCCCAACCCTCTTATTACAAAGCAGTTCTTAGGGAGTTTCTCTAAAGTGGAAATTGTGGAATTCGTTCCTGAGAGTTTCTGCTTGCCTCAGGAGCTGTGAGTAATGCTGAACTCAAAGACTCTTCCGAGCAGAGAAATGCAGGCATTTGGTTTTTCTTGTCCTTACTGAGCGAATAGGGGAGAACAATGTGTGGCATCTGGCTAAGGGCCTGCCTTCTGCACCTGCCCCAGTGGGGACAGTCAGGAGATAGCAACCTAATTTAGAGGCATAACCCAGGCAGTAGCAGCTCCTTTTGGCCTGGCATATCTACAATAAAAATGTGAGGAAAACGCTTTAGTTTTCCTCCTAGCAGCACCTGCCACTTCTTAAAAGCACCATGAAATAAAAGACATCTGTGGCTGGAAGTGAACCCCAGGGTGCCTCTGAGAATGTATTTGTTTGTTTTTCTAAACCACTGGCATTGCAAGTTGGAATGAGGGCTGTGAGGCCACAGTTGTGTTTGATGTACAGAGACTCAGGAAGCTCAATGAGCTGGAACTGTCCCCCAGGGAGACTAGGAGGTCTCAGGCGTGGAGAGGTTCTTGCCATCCTCATTCAGCCTTCTCCTGACTCTGCTGGGGACACATGGGCCACAGAGGAAGCTGAATAAATTAGAGCCAGCTGCAAATGTCTCATGAACTTTTCCTTCTACGATCTGAGGGCTTCCTATGTTGGGTCTTCATGATGCCAAACTTTTTGATAAAAAGTGGAAAGAGAATTCCTAGTAGCTGTCTATTGGGATATGGACCAAATTTCACAATTTTACTTATAGAGCAAATTGTTATCATGTACTTCCAGCAGAATGGGCATTTCCCAGGGAAATAAATCAGCTCCATGTTGTTTTCCTGTCTGTCTCTTTCTGAAAGCTGCATAATAGTAAAGCCATGTCCTCTGTGGTCTCACCCAGCCTGTGCTGTGCCTGCTTCCTCTGAGGGGCTGGTGTCTTTGTCTCACATTGCCTCAGCCACCCCAGCCCTCTCAGCCTCCTGGGGGCAGTTCCTTTAAAGTTCTCTGATATTTAATGGGTCACCTTTTCTGATTCTCAATTCCACTTGGTTCTCCCATTTGCTTTCCAAAGGATGTGGAAAGGTCACTTAGAATCTCATTATGGAGAATCCCACCCAACTACTCTCCAAAGGGGAAATGATGGGGATGGAGGAGAGTCTGCAAAAGGAGAATGTATTTCTCTGGTCCAGCTTCCAGGCTTCAGGCTAAGCACATGTAGATTTTGGATACTTTCTCCCCCATTCTTTATCTTTAGTGGTGGCACTTTCCACAGGCCTACAACTCGGCAGGTACTCAATAAATGCTTATTTTTCCTGAGTTTGGTAATTAGAATATGTAGCCTTCCATGCAAGGAAAACCAGAAGGCCAAAACCAAACCTTTGTGCATCATCCATTGAGTTTCTACTGGAAATTTCTTCTGACTACAGAATATACTTTTTATGTTTCAGTATCTTTCTTAGATCCCTCTTCAAATACACTTTTTTTGTGCATAAAATATTTTATAAATTTTATATTACTTTCATATTTTATTTAGCTGGGATAAAAATGTTAACTGTGGTTATATTGGGGTGGTAGGAATACATATATACATATTTAATTTCATTGCCTACATCAGGAGATTCTCCTAGGGCTGTTTCTAGAAAGAGTTTGGAAGAGTATGGCCCAGTCATAGAATTTCGTAATAGCATTTAAGGGTGGAGATGTTAGCCCCGACACTGTCTCTAGAATGGAGATACCGGTGTCCTCACGGAGTGGAGCTGTGTCTGTCCTCCAATGCTGAAACACAGTGTCCCCACTCTTTGCAGATGAGAGGAGGGGTAAAGGGCACGGGATGCTGTCTGTCCCTCCTCCACTGATGAGAATGGAGGGGCTAGTCCTGTGAAACTTTGTAGCTAACCTGGGGCAACCCTTTGGCAGGGCATCCCTCACCCCTGACTTTGTTCCCAAAGTGGAACTTTATTCTCCTCAAAGTTGCAAACAAAGGAAAACAGAGCTGGTTTGAATTTGCTTTCCACCCTGTGTAATTCTCATTTGCCTTTTCCTTCATTCCATTTTCCAGTTTGGGATACAGGGACGGTGTGACCTACTAAAATGAAGCAGAGAACTATGGCAATTGAAAAGCTAATTTTAGGCTTCAAACTACTTTTCTGCCAATGATCTGGGCATTTCAGGCAAAGATTT